ATTTTTTTACTTCCCCCCCCCCCCCCCCCCCCCCCCCCCCCTGAGAAGTGTCGGCAAGCAACCTCGTGGCTTCCGATTTCTTCAGTTACGCACTCTCTTTGTATTCCAAACTTTTTCTGTATAAGAAATAAGGTAAATAAATAGATAAATAAAAGGGCGCGTTCAGATAAATAACTAAAGTATATAAACGTACCACACAATGTATCAACTCAATAAAAGATAGCAAAACAACTCGAAAATGTTGTTTTTTACCAGAATAAAAGGTAAAAACGGGATATCCGAGTTTTCTGCTGGCTTCTACATTGAGAAAACACACTGTTATTTTACCTTTGACGAACGAATAAACACTCTTATTAGGTGGCTTCATGCTCCAGCTTCTATTATGTTGCTTCCGTCAAAAACTAGAAAAGGAATGTGAAAGCAACTTACTTTCTCAAAGGAGGTGATTTCGTCCCGTTTACGAATGAATATGAAGTTCATCATCAAAGATAAAATGAATAATATTGAAGCGAAAACGGCTCCAACAATCAGTGGTCCACAATAGTCGAGTAGTGTAAACGTCTGCTTCCCCATAGTCTGACCTGAAGGCGAGCTTTCATGCTTTAGAAGACGATGAACGAAGGCAATTAGTCGAGATAATAAGGTTAGCACGGAAAAAACGTGGCAAAAACTCTTGGCAACTTTGCATAAACGCCAATCAGGCTGGGCAGCTTTTGGTTTGATGAGGCTAAGTTGTCGCTGGGTTTCCTAATATGATATGCATTGACCGAGCACTTTTCCAATTAAGTTTCCGCTTGAGCAGAATTTTTCAGGAGAAGTTTCTACGAATAAGGGCAACTTCGGAATACGTTACGCATCTCCTTTAAATCCAGTTGCGAACTAAGAGGAGGGCGTCGAACACCAATCCCGCCGAGCTACAAAGCCCCAAACAATGTGCAACTCGACAATCCCATTTCTGGTTTGTCGACCGGGAAACGTCCGTTTCGCGCGTTCGTCGGAGTTAGGCCGCTTCNCCCACTTGGCGCGCGGCGTAGCCCACTGCGAATTTGATATGACATTACAATAACCCTAAGTGTTAGTGGAGCGGACGGTTTGCACCAGTCCATGAATTCCTCACTTTGAACTGACAATGAGCTCATCAAGGTGACTCATGCGATGGGCGGCTAGCGCCATCTCCCCTGCGCCCGTGAGCCACTGCCCACCGACTATTGTACAAGTCACTGCACCGTACAACGCACTGCTCGTAGGCTCCATAAAAATCATTGACAGAGAGATAAAGAGAGCCGGGGCTCTGTTTTCCCTGTGGCAATCTCTCGCTGCCTGTCCTTTCTCACTCAGTGATGTTTGAGTAACGGTACGAACAGTAATACTGACTGATACTGAAACGATATGATAATGATACGGTACTGATCTTGATTAGATGCAATTGAGGGGCTTGGCTCAACGGCCGAGTCCACACTACATATACTGGACTCCGGTGAGCCGAGACCACGCCCACTCCCAAGACCTGAATAGAAAAGGCAAGAGCGATCAAAAATGCGGCCATGTTGCTTTTCTAGCCCAAGCCTATCCTTGTGGGCGAGCGTCAGCCAGCTCGCCGCCCTGTATTCCACTTATTCAGGGATGCTTTCCGTGCATTAGCGGGTCATCTCTCTTCGATTGTGATCCTCCAAATTACAAATTTTTCATTTTGGGCTGTTACCAGTAGCTCGTCCCGTTTTTGATGTTAGAAGCTATGAATAATGGATAATTTCCTTTTCCAGTCCTTCACTGCATATCAGGAATAGGCAGCTTTAGGAAGTTGTCCCTGTGCCCTGCTCTTCACAGATTTCCCCTAATTGGGCAGCAGGAAATAGGGCATATGGAACCAGAGCTCGCTAGCTGAGACGCATGTCCTGTGCGCTGTCAGCATACCCACTGGGTCGTCAAGCACCGGGTGTTGAGGGCAGCCTTTGCTGGTGATAAAGCTGAACATCGAGAATAAACTGGAAAGGCTAAGAGCGAATGGCTTGCACCAGTCCGTGTTATCTTCACTTTGAGCTGACTGCAGTCGGGGGAGCGCGATTCGTACGCCCCTAATACAAGTAAGACATTTGTCACGCCGCGTGCGGCGGCTGCGGCATGACCTAGTTTCGACGAACGAAGCGACCTCTTGTCGACCTGCACACTGGATACTGAGGGACGGTTCATCTGAGATGAACCAAGCCTAGAAACTGTGCTCGAGGCAGCAGGGAGACTGATTCTTCGATTCCGCGCAGGCTTCCGCCCCTCAATACGGTTTTGAAATTAGGAGATAAAGGATCAGAGCTTCTAAGTCATCCTAGAGACCACGTCCCCAAGCTAATTTCGCTATTTTGCGGCGGGAACGAACAAGACATCTACGACGGAAAAGTAGTTTCACAGTGCCTTGTATCAAAACGAAACTATCAAATCATAGCGTTTCATACCTCCCTTCGTCAGTAGGGATCAAATTTATGATTACCAAATCTGCTCAAGTGGTCACAACTTACGCCTGACCCTTCCTTTACGTATATTACTGTAGAGGTCCGTGACGCACTCTGTTGAATCTCTGCATTGTTTTGCGTGCACGGCACATCCTACGGCGACCAACACCCAGTTACCAAGTTATACTTTGCATTACGAGGATCTAGCCAAATATTATTACGCCATCACTGCGATTTTTTACGAAAGTAAAGAGTCTATCAGTTGAAGCCAGAAGACTAGCTTGGAAGCGACTGCCCCTCTAACATGATGGCCGGCATTATAAGCCGTTCTATAGATAATTTACCCATTTAATTCTTACTGAAATTAAAGAAAAATATTGGATGCGCGGCGCATCCCACAAAAGTTTTGAATGCTGGCAAAAGTTTTCCCATCTATTTTGCATATCCTAGAGCTTCTTACACAAAGAGTTCAGGCAATGAAGATGCTTCACCAAAATATTAATAAAAACATTTCCATATTCAACCAAACAACGAAGACAAGCCACCTGAGTCTGTCAACGATTGGAAGTCAGGGCAGCTACCACGTCTGTCAAGTAATGAAACATCATATGGAGAAAATACGTCACAAGCCTAGGTAATTACCGATTGGATCCCTTGGGACGTCATACGAACGCCTATCATGGCCCGTTATGCCTGGACTATACATAAAAACATCTTATAAGCAATATTGAATGCGTAGCATCTTTCGTATCTTTATTTGAAAGATTTAGCTGCACCACGAACTCCACCCTAAGATTACGGTAGTAACCAATGTACGATTTGCACAATATTTTTGAATGATATCTTCCAGATGCTTCTCTCTTTTCCTTCTTTTCATACCTATCATAGAGAAGAACCTGAGAGAAGATGCAATAGCATAAGAAATCCAGGAACTAGATGAGCGATCGAACCACCAACATAATTTCGAGGAAGAAAAGAATAAGCGATATGGTGCCTTTTTGAGAGCTATATGAATTTGTTGTTGTTAAAATATTGTTGAATCATGTTTGAGCTCCTGCAGTAATTACTCTGACAACGATCCTGGAGGTCGTCAACTACTCCTCAACAGCTTTCCAAGTAGTAATATTGAATGCTTGCTCACGGTTGGTTAAGCTCATCCGATGCGACATCAGGTGTCACAGAGTTTCTGGAGAACCTTTCCTGTATAGATTGACAGCCATTGACCATAAAACCTGTTCGACGTTGATTTGTCTCCTTTTAAGCCATGCACAGAACAACCATTCAGAATGATGGAAACAAAGGAATGCGCATTTGGGTCACGCGGTTCATGCATTCTCATCGACTTGGACACTAATTGACTGTAGGCGTAGGAATCAGAGTTTTTAATCGGTTTCTGACCAAGGACTTGGCCCACTGATCTTCTGCGTTGAGCTGGAGCTACACGCCACAGCCTCATCACTCCATTGATACTCAGGTCACTTATTTGAGGTAAAAAGTCAGTTTACTACCTTGAAAACATCCAAATCACGCTGAAATCAAAATTAGAGTCAAATTATTCAAATTTTCCTCAGAAGAATTTCATTTTACCTCTGAAGGGGGACTCTGGGAACCTAAAAAATCCCACTGAAGTTAATAATCGGCTGACGGACTGACAACTCCATTATACTTGCCGCTTACTATTAAAAGTGACAATCCAATGTCGAGTACGTTTTTTTCATAAGTGATCAATTCCATTTCACGAAGCTAATCTAGTGAATAAAGGAGTTCCGAGGAATGTTGCCTGTCAACCCTCCACGTTTTGATAGGGTGAGTAAACTTCAAAGGGTAGAGGCGGCATCATAAAACAATCTACAGATATGACCATCTCCTGGAGCCTTGAGTTTCTAGAGAAAGTTAGTGATTTTTTTCAAACAACTTTTTCAGTCTTTTTTCTAGTAGGAAACAAATGGAACTCAAAGTTGAGAGCGATTTTTATGCATGAATTTATCGCAGATCGTGCTCCCCCGACTACGAGTTTACTTCTGTTGAAAGCAATGGAAGATGCGAAATTTCCTCGAGGTGCTGGCGCCTATCCATGTTTCATCCAGTAAGCTCCCCAACCCCACTATCTTGGCCAATTTCTACAGCAACTGGCTAGCAACGGCATAAACTGCTTGGCATAAATTATGGTAATAAATGAGTACCCAATTCAACTCTTCAGCCAGCGCTTCTGAAAAGAGGCCGATACGATGGTACATCCATGGCATAACTAGAGAAGGATAGCATGAGGGCTAGTCTCCTCTCCGGACCCTCGGTGGCCGATACTCTGACGCCTGGGTCCTCAGGAAGAATAAAAATATGGACTTGCGGTGAAATGGGTGACTTAAAATAGCAGCTGTCTGGGCAAAAATAGGTTAACGCCAAATACCATCCCTGTTCTCGGGTTACTTTGGAACACTATATGGTTCTTTGATCTCTTCAACTGTCTCCGAATACCTCATGATGTCCTAGAGACCATCTTCATCAGGGAATGGCAATGATAGACTATCATTTAATTGATTTGTAAAAGCTTACAGCATCAGGTAGCAGAACCATCAACTCCCTGCATTCACAAAGAGCCAACAGAAAGCAAGTAAATGAGAAAAAAGTTCTGTCAACGGACGGAAACATACGAAGCTCTCTCAACGGAAGTTATTAAAGCCAGTCAACAAAGGCAATAAAAGTAATTGAGCGTCATCAACGTAAGAACACTTCCGCAACTTCTCCAGCAACAAATTGATACCACCATCCGTAAGACTCACCATCCTCCAAACCAGTCGATTCTCAGCGGAAATGATTGATGCCGAGAATCTTTTTCTTGCTTGGCAAATACCTCAGGGATCGAGCATGTCGAAAGTTGGGCGGTGGTGGCAGGCCAGGTGATTCGAGTGGGTGGTAAAGCAGCTCCAAGTTTAGAGCGCTCAGTTTAGCTCCGGACAATTCGAGGCTCGGCGCTGACTTCCCCCTTCCTACATTAAGTTGCTTTTGGTCCCTTGTGACACTACCCTAGCCTCCTGAGCAAGCTCATGTGATACACCGAACCGAACAGAAATGACGTCATTTAGTCCCGTGGGAAAAAAGAAAATTGTTATCCCAACACATCCTCGGAAA